TCCTCTTCTTTTATCTCTCCCTCCCCCAATGCTTCTCAGCTTTATTCTCTTCACTCTGCTAACTGGTGTTCTCTGCTCCCCCTGCACACAACATAAATGTGACCCGTCCAGCTCTGCATAGCCTCCCATCCCACACTAGTCCTTGGGTCCAATTCCAAATTCCCAGGAGAAAGAAGTTACCAGAGCATCTGGGGTCAGTTGTTCACCCCCAGATCAATCAGCTGTTGCCAGAGCAGGGGGCAAGATGGGGAGGTAGCCTGTGCCCACTCAACGAACTCAAGGCATGTAGGTTAAAATGCCAACTGCAGGGGACTAAGCAAAGCCACCACCCAGACTGTGAACGAAAGGTCTACAAGGAGCTAAGTAGCCTTGGGAAACTTAGTCTTGCAAATCCAAACCCATAAAAGGAAAACAGCATGTTCTTGCCAAGAAAGGCAAGAAGTTTATTTTGTCTGGTACCACGGTAGGTGATTCTTATTTTAATGAAGATGAAACTAAAGATAAGAATGAGATAAGATGCATTATTCATTTTGTCAGAAGAGGGAAATGCATCTTCTCATGTATTTTGCAGCAGTTGTGCACCATGACCGAACAGGCGATTGGAGCCAACAGTGTACCCGGCATTATTGCCCCAGGCAGTGTTCACGTCATCCAGCCCAGCTACCCCGTGGCCTCTGGAAGTCATCTGCAGCCTTCAGGGGTGACCACTTACCCAATCTCACCAAAAGTAATCCAGTGTGATACAGGAAGAGCAAACTTACAGAATCTACTCGTGGTGAGCCAGAACCCAGTGGCAGGTGCACAGAGTCAACCCATTGGGTATCACCAACCGTATCCGGTGGGAACAGCCAGTTTGCAGACTGTGCCTGGAGTGATCCAATACACACAGGGAACAACGAATCTCCAGACACGGCCTGGAGACCCTCAGAATCCTCCAAATGCTAACCCTGGGCTGACACACACCTCAGACTCATCCCAGTGGAACACATCATTTGCATCATTTACTGCATTTAATCCCAAGAAATTCATAAATGAGGAGGTCAGAACATTAGGGGTGAGTGTGATTTCTCCTTCTCTCCGATTTGGGTCACTTCATAAGCCCACATCTAGTGGTCTGGGATGAGGAAGGGAATGTGTTCAGAGGGTAAAGCGGAGATGGTGTGGGTGTGGCGGTGGTTTCTGGAAGCTGGACCCAGCACAGTCACCCAGATGCCGGCCCCTCTCCCTTGACTTCCTCCCACTCCCCAAGGAGACCCATGGTCTTTGGGGGAGGCCAAATAATCAGTGAAATTTCCCTCCTTGCCCAGTTATCTATCAGGGGCATGGGTCAGCAACAGTTCCACTGAAAACACCACCGAGCGGGGAGTCAGGCAATCCAGGTCTCAGGCCAGCTAGATTTGCTGAGTGGCCTTGCAGACATCTCTTCCTCGCTCTGGGTCCTCATTTCGTCATCTTTAGAATAAGAAGATTCAGCTTTCTTAAATTCCTTCCAGCCCCGAGGTTTTGTGATTTCCTTTTCAATCAAGGGGGCCCCTGCCTCTTTCCTGCCTCCTCCAGTTTCATTTAGCACCTTGCAAAACTCAGTTCAATTCTGTTTTTGAGGCAGAAGCCAGATCCCACTGGATGCTCGACCAACTCCTAGTATGGAGACTGGCATGTCACAGATGCCCATACTCTATGCACTCATCCATTCAACACAGCAGGCACCCTGCAAGGAGCTGGGGACTCCGAGATAACCAAGACATGATCCATGAAGACCAAGGAGGGCCTTTGTTCATGGCGGCTGTCATTACAATTCCTTCTGGCAATTGCCCTGAGATATGCATAAGTTATTCATGGCGGCTGTCGTAATTACAATTCCTTCTGGCAATTGCCGTGAGATATGCATAAGTTATTGGCGGTGCCCAAAGTGCAGACTGTCTGGCTTCTTTGAGAAGTGACAAACTGCCTCCTGGAGGCAGGAAGACAAAGACAGGTTCAGGAAGGGGACCCATTCCTCCTCATTTAATCCAGGATCCTTCAGGAGTAGACAAGTAGATTGTACCAGGAACAAGGCATTGTTTGCCTCCCAAACAAATCAAAATCAAATCCGGAACTAAATTCTATAAAACAGTGATCAGGAATAGAAATCCTGGTCACAAGCATCGAGTGAGATTATAAATGTGTGTGGAAATCCTCCAAAAGGTAAAGCTGGTCTATGATATTGCGTAGTAATTATCATCGTGTATTACAATGACTATCCTTATTATTAATACTGGGTAAAGGCTTGTTAACTTTCGCTCCCAATTATTTTAAGATATTTTGGAAGGATTTGAAAATTTGTCAAAACAGAATTAAGTCAGAGTACATGTACTGGGGAACCTGGCCAAACAAAATGAAAAGCCAAAAAGCCAAAAATGTGAGCTATCTTGAATCAATTATAATTTTGATTTGGGAAGGAAACCATGCCTGCCTCTTAGCCCTTTTCCCGTTTGCCCCAAGAATACTCGCCAGCAGCACTTGCGGCTGCAGTATTTACCCCAAGATAATTTTGCCATGCAATATCTCCCTTTTATTATAACTTTCACATTGCTCTACCATATCGACCTTGGAAACAAGAGACATCATTCTATTTATAGCATTCTGGTTTTAGTAGTAGTATTCCCATTTATAAAATACAGTAATTCTCGATTGCTAAAAATGTCAAGTCCTGGAAAATGTAGCATTCCTACTCATGGTATTAACATTGTTCTCGAACGGTTCTTGGCCAAAGATTCATTTGATGAATCCAATGTTTCCGAAGTAGACAATTCTGATGTTAGTTCTGTTTAGAAATCAACTCGAAGAACCATTTTTATCATTTATTTTCACACTGAAAATCAGCCAGATTTGCTTCAGCCTCAAGAGTGTGTGCGTAAAATTAAATGAGTGTTGACAGCAAGCGGCACTATTTTTTTTTTTCTAAATGGGAAAGGGGTTCATTAACATACTGATAAAGTGGGCCTATAGACAGAGTCAAGCATGTTGTCTTAGGAAGGGATGTTCGTATGAAACCCAGGGCTGTCACCAATTCATAGACTCATGGACCAGGAGGGCAGAGAGCCGCTGCCCTACACTGGTTATTTGATCCCTGAGGAAACTGAGGCCCAGAGAAGCCAGTGGTAAACCCTGTAGGAGCCCCAAATGAGAGGGGATTCATCCTGGATCAGGGGTCAGAAAAAGAATCTCTCTGATTCCCTTAAGGTAAGGGTAGGATTTCAATAGGAGGAGAGTAAAGCAAGCAGATTTCAGACAGTGGCAACAGTGGAGGAAAAGCAAGGAGGAAGGGGGAAAAACACAGGACTTGCAGGAGACAGAGGATCTCCTGGTGTGTACATTGCCAAGGGGAACTGTGGGGACGTCATAGAGAAGGCCACAAAGAGAATATCGGTACTGGGAAGATGAATGGTGTCAGCAGAGGGCATTGAAACACCTACTGCATTCAAGGCGGGCGCGGTGGCTCATGCCTGTAATCCCAGCACTTTAGGAGGCCGAGGCGGGCGGATCACCAGGTCAGGAGATCGAGACCATCCTGGCTAACATGGTGAAACTCCATCTCTACTAAAAATATTTTAAAAATTAGCTGGGCGAGGTGGCAGGCACATGTAGTCCCAGTTACTTGGGAGGCTGAGGCAGGAGATTCACATGAACCCAGCAGGCAGAGGTTGCAGTGAGCCGAGATCACGCCATTGCACTTCAGCCTGGGTGACAGGGTGAGACTCTGACTCAAAAAAAAAAAGAAAAAGAAAAAGAAAGAAAGAAAGAAACGCCTATTGCATGCTAGGAACTGGGCTGCAAGTTTCATAGACACTTTTAATCTCTACCACAGCCCTGCAAGCTGGATACTATTACCCGCATCTTGCAAATATGTAGCCTCTCATAAACATGCTCTTGAGGCTGAAGCAAATCTGGCTGATTTTCAGAGTGAAAATAAAATATAAAGACCTTTCTTTGGGTTATTTCTAAACAGAACTGACACCGAATGGTCTGAATCATCAGAATCATCTATTTTGGAAAAATCAGATTCATCACATGAATTTTGGCCAACAACTGTTGGAGAACGATGCTCACATCACGCATAGGAATGCTACATTTTCTAGGATTTGACATTTTCGGTTTCCCTGCAAATAAGGAAACCCTGAGGCAGACAGGATATTTGCTGGAGACCACACAGCCGGCCAGTGTTGCAGCCAGGACAGGAGCCCAACTGGTTTTCAGCCACGACCCAGGCTCGGCCTGTGTCTCTGCACACTTGTGGGCTCAGTCTAAAGGAAAGACATTTCCTGCTCTGTTATCGGCGTCTTACCTTTCCTTTATGCCTGTGGTTCTCAGCCTGAGTGCAAATTTGCATCACCTGTGAAGTTTGTAAAACACACCCAGGCATGGACCCCACCCTAAGAGATTTGTATCCAGTTGGTCTGGAATGAGTCCCAACACCAGCCGCACCTGGGGTGATTCTGGGGCACAGCCAGGATGCAAAGCACAGCTCCGCAGCCCACAGGCCCCAGTTCTGCTCTCTCACAGTGACTTGTTCTCCCTGCAGGCCATCCAGATCCTCATCGGCCTGACGCACATGTTCTCTGCAATTAACCCTGTGCTGTATCACTATTTTTCTGTGACCTGGGTGTCAGGCTACCCGGTCTGGGGAGGATTATCCGTGAGTACAAGGCCATATGGTCCCCTTCCTGGGTCACCAGACTGGGACAAGAAGGAAGTGGAGGAAGGAGGAGCATGGAATCCCATTCCCAGTAATATGACTCCATAGACTAGAGCCAGCCTCCAACCTGCAGATACGGCAAAGGGTTGAAGATCCAACCACCCCTCCATCTCCCTGCCCCAGCAGCACTCCCTCCCACTACCACCCTCCCCATCTCCCATACCCCCCACCCAGCCTCTAGGGAACTATTGGCCACAAAGACTCATTATTATGTGCTTCACCACTTCCACCCTCTCTAGGTTCTCTTTTATGAAATATTTATCTGATATGGCCAGACAGGGTGGCTCACGTAGGTAATCCCAGCACTCTGGGAGGCCGAGATAGGTGAATTACTTGGGGTCAGGAGTTTGAGACCAGCCTAGGCAACATGGCAAGACTCCCCATCTCTACAAAAATACAAAAAATTAGCTGGGTGTGGTAGCGTGCGCTTCTCGTCCCAGCTTCTTGGGATGCTGAGGTGGGAGGACTACCTGAGCCCAGGAGGTGGAGGCTGCAGTGAGCCATAATCACACCACTGCACTCCAGCCTGGGTGACAGAGTGAGAGCCTGTCTCAAAGAAAAAAAAAGAAATATCTCGTATGTAACTCAGAGTACGTAAAGTTGTGTGCTATAGACAGCATCTACCCACCATATCAGTTATGGGAGCCAACTGTAAAACTTCCAGGAATTATGTAAAATGATTGTCAAACCATTTGGTAGCAGGAAGTTAGCCATGTTGGGTGTATATACGACATGGAAATCAACACGTGCTCCAAATCAGGGCCCTTTCCTGCACTGCTGCCACCTTATAAGGCAGATGTTAATCATTTACCAGCAGGCCATTGAGTGTATTTCATCTTGCAGAGCTTAAATATTAATAAACTGAACACCCACATGTACGCTTCCACTTAGATGAGTTCCCTAGGGTAGTCAAATTCATAAAGATAGAAAGCAGCATGGTGGTTGCCAGGGGCCGGGTAAGGGGGTAATGGGGAGTTAGTGTTTTATAGGGACAGAGTTTCAATTTGGGATGATAAAAGGAGTTCTTGGGGTGGCTGGTTGCACAACAATATGAATTTTCTCTTCTTTTTTTTTTTTTTGAGACAGAGTCTCACTCTATTGCCCAGGCTGGAGTGCAGTGGTGCCATCTCAGCTCACTGCAACCTCCACCTCCCGGGTTCAAGCAATTCTCCTGTCTCAGCCTCCCTAGTAGCTGGGATTGCAGCCGTGCAACACCAGGCTGGCCAAATTTTTTATATTTTTAGTAGAGACGGGGTTTCACCATGTTGCCCAGCCTGGTCTTCAACTCCTGACCTCAGGTGATCTGCCCACCTTGGCTTCCTAAAGTGCTGGGATTACAGGCATGAGCCATCCCACCCAGCCTAACAATGTGAATTTTCTTGGGATTAGTAAACTGAACACTTGAAGGGGGTTGAATGGTAAGTTTTAATTTGTGTGTATTTTACCACAATTAAAAATAATAAATTAAAGTTTTAAAAAATGAACACCTGTGTGTCCACCACCTAACTTAAAAAACAAAGCATCACTCACAGTTTTTAAATTTTTAAATCCCTGTGAGTATCCTCTCTATGCCCCCAGAGGTAAACACTATTTTCAATTTAATGTTTTAATTCCCTTGCCTTTTTTTTTTTTTTTTTTTTTTTGAGACGGAGTCACTCTGTCGCCCAGGCTGAGATGCAGTGGCACAATCTTGGCTCACTACAACCTCTGCCTCCTAGGTTCAAGCGATTGTCCTGCCTCAGCCTCCTAACTGGGATTACAGGCATGCACCACCACGCCCAGCTAATTTTTGTATTTTTAGTAGAGATGGGGTTTCACCATGTTAGCTAGGCTGGTCTCGAAGTCCTGGTCTCAAGATCCGCCCACCTTGGCCTTCCAAAGTGCTGGGATTACAGGCGTGAACCACTGCGCCCGGCCTCCCTTGCTTTTCTTTATGGTCTGATCATATTTACCTATATGCCTAAGCAAGGAGTGACTTGGCTTTGCGTGTTTACAAACGCATATACATGGAATAATTCTGTATCTGCGTGCAGCTGTCTCTTTTCCCCCACTAGGCATTTTGTTTGGGAGGAAGTGAGTTCCTTTGAGGGGCAGCTTCAAGAGAGCTAGCAAAACCCCTGAGTGCCCCTATTCTCCCCCATCAATAATCCCACCCTTGTTCTCTCACTTGAACTGCATGGCCCACTTGTGGATGGAGAGGGCCGGAATCATGATCTATGCCCATTTGCCAGACGAGGAGACTGAAGCTCAAGATCTTCCTCTTGCACTTTCTGGCTATGAGGATGACACCACCACATCCTCATAGCCAGAAAGTGCTGGAGCAACGTCCTGAGCCCAGGCCCCCTCAGATCAGGGCTCTCACAACTCAACAGAGCTCTTACTGCTTCTGATGTTCATGTTTCCATCACCTGCCTAGCAGCATCAAGGGCTAAAGAGGACCCTCCAGCTGGGTCCAGAACCACAGCAGATGAGGCCACAGCCCAGGTCTCCTATCTCCCAGCCCCAAGGCCCCACCCACCACACTACTCAGCCCCTGGTTTTCCAAGCTCACAGTTGAGCATAGGGCAGCATGAGGCCAAATGAGTAATAAATGCATTTGGGCGATGACATGTCCAGACAGCGGACTCAAGGAGAATCAGTCAAAAAGTAATAATAATGAGACTTACAGCATCCTGGGACAAAATTCAGGTTTTTAGGGGGAAGGAAGATGTTAGCCTAGACCCACAGGAGTTTGAGTATCATGGTATTTAGTATATTCGGTGCCTAACCATTGGGATAGTAAAAACGTTGGGAGGAAATAAACAGATTTACACATTTTGTGAAACAAGGTGCATAGAACAAAAGATTGAGAAACGTGTCTCTGGGTGGACAGCTGTCTTTTTTAACATGTTGCACAATTGGTCATTCTTTTTTTTCTTTTTTGTCTGCATAGTATATTATATCTGGATCCCTCTCAGTATGGGCTGCAAAGGATCCCAGTCCTTGTGTGGTGAGTCACAGTGCTGTCTTTGATGATTCCTGAGTGTTGGAATTTGACTCTCTACCATGGAAAAAGGGGACTCACAGTAGTGGTGTGGCCTGGCCCTGGCCCTGGCCCTGGGTACAGTGCGTTTCCAAACCTTATTCCAGTCAATCCCCACCACTCTACAAAGCTGTATTATCCCCATTTTTCAGAGGAGAAAACTGAGCAGCAGAGAGGTCAGGTGGCTTGTCTAAGATCACACAGTGAGTACATGGCCGAGCTGGGATTTGACCCCAGAGTTCTCTGATTCTGAAACTGTTCCTTTTTAACTATTGCATTTTACTATTGAAAAACTTAGCTCTTCGGGAAACTCGTGAGTATTTACATGCAGTGCCTTATGGGTGCTCTGAATTAAGCCAGGCCTGAGCCAAACAGAAATGGGTGTGCATTTCGGCCATCTCTTTAAGATATTTTCCACCATCCTCTTTGTGTGGACCTAGAAAAGTGAGAGCAATGCCTGCCTTGAACAATTTAAAGTCCCAGCCAAGAGCACAGGGCCCAGAATTCCCTTGTACCGTTGGAGCATTTATTCTCTGTCTCAGCAACCAGCAGAGTATCTGGTCATGTTTTGATGATTTTTGTTGCGGTCTCTAAGAAGCTTAGGGATAAATTTAGAGCTCCACAGTGGCCCTTCTCTCATCTCCTTCCTTCTCAGGTCCTCCTTCCCCTCTCTACTTTCTCTACATGGCTTGTCATCTTTCTTCTGCCTTTTGATGGGAAAGCAGTGGGTCAGCTAGGGGCTGGGTGTCTAACGGAGGGTTTCCCAATTACCAATCTCCAGTCTACAAGGCAAACTCCTGTGGCCCCACGGTCTGCTTTGCTTCACCCCCTTTAGGAAGAGTAGAGTCCTCCAGACACCCCAGCATCAGCCAAGCTCACACCACCCCTTCGTATCCCAACAAAACTGGGAAGTTCCATATCCCCTGGGAAGTCAAATGCTCTCCCCAAGGTGTCTGCTGACTCCTGGGGATCTCCTAGCCCTCTCTTGCTCTGACGTCTGACTTTCTATTGAAATCTCAACTTCCTTTTCTACTTTATACATCTTACAGCTGTCCTGGCCTCAGCCCAAATGTAGAACACCGTCCCTTTCTCTTTCATCTTTCTCTGTCTTCATCCCCATAACCCTCTTAAAGGGAAGCAGCTTGAGTAGGGAATGGATAATGAAGCATTAGAGGATTTCAGCTCCTCAGCACTGAGCAGCAGACCCCTCAGAGTTGAATATGAGACTTTCCAGTTCCGAAAACTTTCTCCAGCCAATCCTGCCAGCATGCTGGCCCCAGCCTTCCACCACCAGGAGCAAGTCTCCCTGACTCCCTTCCCTCAATTCAAGCTTGGGATCTCTGCCCATGCCTTATCTCTTTCTGAATCTCATTGCCTACCCTCTGCTGCTCAGCAAGAAATTTTCCCAAACAAATCCAATCCCTGCCATAGAGGGACACTGCACATTGATTAAGGAATGATTTTGGGTGGAGATTTGGAGGAAAGAGAGGATCAGGTAAAAACAACTAACAAGTACTAGGCTTAATACTTGAGTGATGAAATAATCTCTACGACAAACCAACATGACACAAGTTTACCCATGAAACAAACCTGGACTTGTACCCATGAACTTAAAATAAAAGTTTAAAAAAAAAAAAGCAATGATTTCTAAGGGTGGAGAATGCTTCTCCACCCTGCCTGGCCATTTCTTTTCTGCCCTGCCTTCTCTCTTCTCCGACTTCCCAAGAGTCCCCACAAGCCGGGTTTCAGACTCTTCACACTCAGCTCCCTGTCTCCTCTCCCTCCTCTCCTGCAGGTGAACAGCAGCATCAGCTTGAACATCATCAGTTCATTATTCGCCTTTGCCGGGATCTTCATTATCATTACAGATCTGATCCTTTACTATGTGACGGTGAGCATTTGACTGCCAGGGCCCCGTGCTGCCAAAGGACCAAGAGGGCTTCTGAGGTTGCTTCCAGAGCAGAATGGAATTGCCCCAGAATTCCATCCTAGTATGACAACCACTACATCCATGAGCTATTTAACTATCACCAAAACCCTGTGCCCTCTGAGGTGGCTGTGATAAACCCCATTTCACAGTGAGGACGCTGAGACTCAGGGAGGTGTAGCCAGTTGACCCCTCCTCATACCTATCCTATTCTCTGCTTAGAGGTAGCAGGTGACCAGGTAAGTGGCCTACGCGGCTGCCACACCCAGACTCACAAGATCACCTGCCCCTAGGGGTCTCTCAAGGGATAGCCTTTCACACAAGCAGGAGGTGCTGATGCTAGTTCTGGTCTTTTGGTGGGGGGACCTCAAGATGCAGATGCAAAGACAAGGATTCAGGTGCAAGTCATGTATTTCAGAGGTTATTCTAGGAAACCTCTCTAGAGGAGGGAAGAAGTAAGACAAACAAGGGGAGAAAGTCACACTATAAACAAACGTATTATCCGGCAAGGACTCCTGGAGATGAGCCTGCCGGGGCCCTGGTAGCCAGGGAATGATACGCTCCTTAGCTACACCCTGTCCTGGAGTGAGGGAGCTGGGGTATTTATCCACCAACTCCCCTCAATCATTGATCAAAAACTGCCCCTGAGGGGTATCAATTCCCTAGTGCTTCCAGTCTGCCATGCTCATGGGCAGAGGAGTTTTGTGGCCAAAGAAAGCCCTCAGGTAAAGCCATGCAAATGAAAGTCAGGAAGCAGGCATGGAAATATGGGAAGGACATCAGTAACACTGACACAGTACTTAAGGAGGCCTGAAGAACAAGATCGAGAGTAGCTAGCTCCACAGTTGGCTGCAAGCTGATGCTCTCGTGGGACTAACCAAGTGGGCAATGGAAGGCTGGCAGGACACAGGGTCTTAAACCAGACGTGTCTACAGGAGTGAGGGCAGTCCCTAAGGGGAGCGCTCCCTGAAGGCCCCAGGAAGAAGCCTGATGCACAGGGTGTAACTTGGTATCTAGGGGATATGGCAGCAAGGTGATGGCCTCTTGAGTCCAACACGATGCAACAGGATGTCCCAACAAGGGAGTGGATTGTGGTCATGTGGAACCAAGAACACAACAGTTATAAATCCTAAAGATGGTCATTTGGCAATCAGGACCTCTGTCATCAGGGAGCATACTAGTTCAGTGTAGCACAAAGGCACTGGATTCCAACAGGCATTCCAAGCCCTGGGCTCCCCACCCTCTGCTCCAGAGAAAGAGTGTGTAGGGATGAGAGGAACTCCGTGACCCCCTCTCACCCTACTATGGGCAGGGACCAGGCCCAGAGCACACTGAGCTCTGTAGGGCCCCTTCAATCCTGCCTTAGCTTCTGTCTTGGCAGAATCCCTTGAAGCTCTGAGGACCCATCCCAACCTGTCAAGGGCAGTATGAGGCAGGGATACTGGAAGATGGCTGAGAAAGCCAGGAGCCAGGCAGAGCTAATGACCCTGACCTAGCTGGTGTCTATCCACTTCCCAGGCAAGGAGTCCAGACTCTCACACACAAGTGCCTTTCCTAGCCAGTGCACTTGTTGAAATGTCTCATTTTGGGTTCCTCCCAGAAGCAGACATTGATACAAGTCGTTTACCTGGGAGAGGAAGCAAACACCAACCTAAGGGGTAAAGGAGCTGGGGTATTTATACACCAAACCCTGACAGTCATGGAGAGAGGGCTGTTCTCAAGAGACACTCATTTCCTGGAACTTTGAGCCTGTGCAAACAGCAAAGTAGGCTCCAGAGGCCAGAGGGAGCCCTGAGGCAAAGGAATGTAGATGCTGGCAGTTGGAAGTCAGGCCAGTGACTAAGAGGGTAAGGCAAGGGCATATAAAATGGGTGACCCAAGCATCTGCTCCAAAGGGCCACATGTAGAGAGGGTCTCAGGCCTTCCAGGTGAGGTGTGTGGCATTCCAGATGTGGACTGTCACCTACACCATCAACCCGAAGGACTAAAAGTCTTCTATTACTCCTTGCCTTTAGACGTATTCAAAGGCAATTTCTGGTGGTCTTCTCCCCTTTGCCCTCCTGGAGTTCATCCTCACTTGTGTGGTCTCACATTTTGGGTGCCAGGCTACCTGCTGCAAACAATTTGAGGTAAGCATTGGACTCTGTTCCAGCAATCAGAGCATGCTCTGGGGTTGGGCATGGGCTGTAGCAAGAGGTAACCAGAGATCTAGAGAAATGAGGCCTGAGAGAGGATAAGTTTTGCTGCATAGCAACCTACCCCAGAACTTAGTGACTTCTGGTTATTTAGCTCTATTTATTCTGTACATCATCAGCTTGGGCTATGATCAGCAGGTAGCTCTTCTGTTGGCCTCAGATGAACTCACCCTTGTATCTTAGCTTGGGGATGGTTGGTTTCCAGGGACCTTCGTGAAATAGTTCACCTCTGCTCCACATGTTATCTCATCCTCCAGTGTGATCACCTGAGCTTCTTTGTGGGGAGCTGGATTCCAAGAGTAGCAAGACACAGCAAGCCCCTACAGGCAAGCACTTTAAGTCACTGCTTGCATCACATTTGCTAATGTCCCACTGGCCACAGTCAGTCACACGGCTAAACCCAGATTCCACAAGTGGAGCAACAGCTTTACCTCTTGATAAGAGGAGCTACAAAGTCACCCAGCAAAGGTTGATAAATATAAGGATTCATAACCAGTATTGCAGTCTACAATACTCTTTCCTCTGGCCACAAATTACTCACAGCTGTCCAAGATGCAAAGTATGCTCAGCCCATACTTTGGATGCCCAAATGTCCCATCTAATCATGGCATCAGGCTTGAAGTCTAGGATCCAAATCAGATCTAGACGTGATGGAGGATTTGGGTGTATTACTCTTCTTGACTCAGAAACCTATGAACTAAAAGCAAGTTCTGTCCCCATATATGCAACATACTTAAGTGACAGAAAAATAGGATACATAGAATTATGTTATTTCCCCACTCAATAAGGGAAAGAACAGAAGCACAAGATTGTCACTGCTCCATAATAATTCTGAAATCCTAAGGGACACATATTGTCTTGCCCTGGGGGCAGAGAATGTTTCTTGTTTAGGAGTCAGTTTGACTCTGGAAGATTCTGCCCATTTCATTGTTCTCTATTGCTTCCTGAGAAGAGCTTTCTAATCCATTGTTCTCCAAGACCTTGACTCCACCCTCTGGACTCTTGACTCCACCCTCAGAAACATGTTTTCTTTTTTCATAAGAAAAGGCCTATATTTTCCATCTTGCTTTCTCAATCTGCTTCCCATATTAAGAGTGATCCCCAAAGGTCTTTTTGCAGTTTGAGCAATTTCAGTCAGATTTGGTCCAAGTTGGTAATCCTGTTACTAATACAATTCCCTTAAAAACTCCAACGGTGTTTTATATATCAGATTATGGCTTTCACCATCTGACAAGAGCCACACCTGAGACTGTGTTCTAGACACACTTCTCACTCTAAATCTACCAATGTCTGTTTTGGGATTAGGCTTCTGTGAGACCAATACCTTAAGATTCTTAGAAGCATTTCTGTCTAGCTGAAAGGGTGTAATAAGCACTGATTAAGCCTTTCAAAGGTCTTAACAAAGGGCTGTGTAGACACATCCTTGTTTGATCTTTGTTCTTAGGCCTAGTTTTACTTTGAATATTATTTATCCATTGAGGACCTTGGAAATTAGAGATAATCTTGTTTTCTAACTCATCAAGTCCTGGGCTCTCTACTTTGCCTCTAAATACCACTTGCAAACTACATAATTCCTTCTTTATCCTCTCACTTTCTCACAGTATTTTATCATATGCAGCCAGAAGCACCCAAATGACATTTTCAATATTCTGCCTGATGATCTCCTTAGCCAAATCCAAAAGTTATTAGATACATATTTTTGTCTTCTAAAGTACAACCGCACTCCACCACTACATAACATGGGAAAACATTTCTCCAGTCTGCTGTGGCACTTTCCTCTCCCCTTTTCCAGACTCCTCCAGCAGTGAGATCACCACTTTTCCAGCCTTTACTAGAGGCTTACTCACAGCTTCTCCAGCCCCACCTGCTACCTAGTCCCAAACCCCATGCATGTGTTGAATTATTGTTATCTTACTTCTAGCTACCAATTTCTATGTCAATTAGCTTTTGCCCCATATCAAATAACCCCAAAACTTAATAGCTTACTCAACAACCACTTATTTAGCTCCTGATTCCCTGGGTTTGCTGGGCAGTTCTTCTGATCTCTGCTGGGCTTGCCATGGGTCTGCAGTCAGTTGGTGAGTTGCCTGGTGGCTGGATGATATTGGGCAGTCCCACATGGGTGTCTGGCTGTTTGCAAGCTGGCAATCAATAGGGACAACTGGGCCACTTGTCTTGCATTATCCAGAAGGCAGGCCACTCTTTATGTTCAGTGTTCCAAAGAGCAACAAGAGAAAGCAAGCTCCAATGGGCAGACACTTTACAGGTCACATTTATTGTTGTCCTCTTGGCCAAAGAAAGTCACATGACCAAGCCCAGCATTAGGGAGAGAGGGTCTACCTAAGGATATGGAAACAGGAGGGAGAAAAATCTGTGGCCATTTTTGTTGTTTACTACAGAGGAAGATGATGTCCTTTGTCTTTCAGAATGTGACAGTGATTCCAGCCGTATTCAGTTTCAACCAAGCCAATACCACCAGCAGCCCTGTCAACACCACCACCAGCCCTGTCAATGTTAATGCTGGTCCTGTCAATGCTACCATCGGCCCTGTCAATGTGACAACTGGCCCTGTTAACACTACCACTGGCCCTGCCAAAACTACCACCAGTTCTGTCAATGCTATCCACACCAACAATGTACCCCCTGAACCCTCATACCAAGAAATAGCTGATTTGCACAGAGATAGATGACATGGGATGCCTGTCTCAATGACAAGGGGAAACACTGCAGCAGTATCTTTCCTTCTCCCTGAAACTTCCATGACCATGACCCTAGCCTTGTTACCAGATTGAAATGAACAAGCATTTCCTCTCCTCTTCACTCCTAAGCTTCATTTTTGCTTGTTATTGATGTCTTTTTTTTTTCATTCATAAATAATTTTCCTTTGGCCCTCAGTATCTTTTATCCTTGGCAAAGTGCAGGGTGCATTTTGGTTCTATAGTTCCTGATGTATGCTTACTGTTGAAAAACCAGTTCTAAATCAGTGCCTCAGCCATGGAATTCTTGTAGGTCCAGCTTTTGCCCAGTCCCCAGCTCTAACTCTGACACAGTTCTCCCCCACAGAGGAGGGGGAGCAAGTGGAGTGTGTTCAGTATTCCCAGGTATGGGGGTGGAGGAAAATCTTTGTGACCTAGAGTTTCAACTAGATACCAAAAATACAACTCACAAAAGGAAAAAAAATCAATAAATTGGACTTAGAATTAAAAACAGTCGCTCTGTGAAAGAGCTTGCTAAGATAAAAAGCCACAGGCTGGGAGAAAATATTTGCAAATCATATATCTGACAAAGGATATGTTTCCACAATATATAAAGAACTCTCTAAACTCAACAGTATTAAAAAAAACCTAATCACAAAATGGACAAAAGGCTTGAACAGAGGTTCTAACAAAGAGAATATAGGGTTGCAAATAGGCATATGAAAAGATGTTCAATGTCATTAGCCGTTAAGTACAATGAAATACCATTACACACCTATTAGAATGGCTGAAATTAAAAATGCTGATAATACCAAGTGCTGGTGAAAACAGAGCAACTGGAGGTCTCATATGTAACTGGCACTGCTACTCTGGAAAACAACTTGGCTGATTATTATAAAGCAAAGTATACACTTACCATGTGACTCGGCAATCTTGCTCCTGGGTGTTTATCCTAGAGAAAATAAAACTTACTTCCACATGAAATGTGAATGGCAGCTTTGTTTGTAATAAACACAAACTGGAAACAACCTAAATGTTCTTCACTGAATAAATAATGGAAAAGCAAACTGTGCTACATCCATACAATAGGATACTTCTCAGCAGTAAAAAGGAACAAGCTATTGATGCTGTGGGGGAAGCAAAACTTTACCTCTACCTGTCTTCATTTTCTTTTTGTTGTTATTGATGTCTTTTTTTTTTTCATTCATAATAATTTTCCTTTGGCTCTCGATATCTTTTAACCTGGCAAAGGGCAGGGTGCATTTTTGTTCCGTGCTTCCTGATGTGTGCTCACTGTTGAAAAACCAGTTCTAAACCAGTTCTAAATCAAGCTAAAATGGGTTTTCAGCTGCGACTGTTTAACAACAAGACAGGTTAACAAGAGAAACAAGTTTAATTAGCCCACGCAGCACACATCACCTGCGAAAAACCTCAAGGAAAAGTAACTCGGAGCGGTGACTTAGAATCTGCTTACATAGCATCTTCCCCAAAGAACAATGGATTTGTAGAGAAATGACAGGACAAAGGAAAGCAGTTTTGGGCTTCCAAAGGCAGGAAACGGTGGGAAGTTAAATACATGGAAAGAAACTAATGGAGTAAGGTTTGCTTACAGTTTCCTCTGGAGCCATTTCTGGGCTAATAAGAGTCTAGAGTCTTCTCCAGCAAAGAAGAATTTATATCCTGCCTTTAGGCAGGAAAGGAAGAGGATAGAGGGAACTTCTCCTGCATTTGCTTCTTCTTAATTGCCTTCAGCTTGAAATACTTTTTATGTCAAAGAGGCATATTTGGGGGTGACATAATCTGGTTTCCTTCAATACACACAACAATTTGGATTTCAAGGACATGACTGAAAACTCCAATCTCAAAGTATTGCATACTGCATGACTCCATGTATATAATATTCTCATAATGACAAAATTATAGCTTAAAAAGGAACGAATTAGAACATCAAGAATAATAGCAGTGGCCGGGCTCAGTGGTTCACGCTTGTAATCCCAGCACCTTGGGAGGCCAAGGGGGGTGGATTACCCGAGGTCAGGAGTTTGAAACCAGCCTGGCCAACGTGGTGAAACCTCGTCTCTATTAATAATACAAAAATTAGCTGGGTGTGGTGGCGTACGCCTGTAATCCCAGTTACTCGGAGGCTAAGGCAGAAAAATTGCTTGAACCCAGGAGGCGGCGGTTGCAGTGAACTGAGATAGCGCCATTGCACTCCAGCATGGGTGACAAGAGTAAAACTCTGTCTCAAAAAAAAGAAGACGAAAAAGAATAGCAATCACAATAATATAGCAACAACATCTGCAATGGATTGAAACACATGGCTCATCATGTTAGAAAGAAAAAATCTGTGATCATCTTTGGAGATTACTAGGGTGCACCTATTGTTCTAAAAACTTGTAAATAACAGGAAGGAATCGAGCATTCCAAAAAGCAAAAGCAAGGAAAGAATCACTCAGCCTATAGCAGCCAATCACCGAGGAAGATAAATAGGTTATCAGCTGGGATAGCACAGCAATGGACAAGAAGAGGGTAGGGCTTACTGCTGGGCTTGGAGTCTGGACATTTCCATTTTATCCTGCTGCTCCTGTTCTTAAATTTCAGCATGCCTTGCTTCGTCTGGGCCTACAGGGTTGCTGATGTGAGCAATGATCAAGCCACCATAAAGAAATGGACTGTTGCACTTAGCTATTGCCACAAAAGTTCTGTAAAACCTCAGTGGCATCCCACAAGAAGCATTTATTTTTGCTCACGAGTCTATTGGTTGACTGGGCAGCCTTCCTGATCTGATCTGGGCTTGGCAGGACTCATCGGTGTGCTTCTGTTCAGCTGAGGGTCAGCTAGGTGGCCCTGCTGACCTTGACTGCATATGTGGGGCCTCAGCGGGGACAACTGGGCCAGCCTGGCTGCACTCCATGTGTCTCGTCCTCTAACAGGCTGGTCCAGGAGTGGTCCATGGTGGTTGCAGAGCTCCAAGGGAGAACAGAAGCAGCTCAGACCTGACACATGGCCACTTCTGCCTCGTTCTATTGGCAAAGGAAGCCACAAGGCAGCTCAGTTTCAAGATTTAGCAAAAAAGACTCCACATCAGCTGCAAGAGGTGTGGTGCTGGTTCAGCTGAGAACTGGTCCAGTCATGGGCATCCAGACCATTCCCTGTGCCATACTGAGCCCTCAGGTCCCGTGTCATCTCCCTGACTGTATTGAGGCATGAGGGGCAATTTTGGTGAGAACTTGAACCCAGAAACTGATGAACAAATTGCTCCACCTGCATGTGCCACTCCAATATGACTCCATGTGTACACTCACACTAACGTGTGCACAAACACACGTGCACACATTCACACACACGTATGCACACACTCATGTGTACCACAGGCACATGAGTGCATACAGACATACACGTGTGTGCACACTCACCCATACGTGTTCTCACACACGTGTGTGCACAGGCACGTGTGTGCACAATCACACTCACATGTGTGCACACACCTTACTCTCACATGCATGCACACACACCCACATGCTCATGTGCACACACACATGTGCACACACACTCACACCTACATGTGCACACACATTCACACTCACATCCTCACATGCATTTACACACACGTGTATGTGCACACACATTCACGCCCACCCTCACACATTCATACACCACCACACACACCCACACACTCACACACTCACATCCACATACATTCACACACATCCACACTCACATGCACACACATGTGTTCACACACACATGTGTGCACATGCTCACACCCTCACACACACCCCTATGCTCCTGCCCTTGGGAAATGGTGGGCTCCCTGGCCTCCAATCTAACATTGGACAAGTCCAGTTGAAGAAAGCCAGGTGGCCTCTGATTACTCAGTTTCCACCTCTCAGCAGCAGGAGGATGAAGGCCAGTGTGGATCCCCGTCCCAGCTCTGACGCTAACTGGGGGACCCCAGCAGGCAACTTGCCTCTCTTGGCCTCCGCTTCCCCTTCTGTAGATTGTAGGAAGGGATCCAGATGCTCTCCCTGGACCCTTGTGGCCTGGCGGCCGATGATTCCACAAGCGGCTTCCTCCGCTCCCTCAGTTGGGCCACAGGACAGAGGCCTCTGAGCCAGGAGGGACCTGAGAACTTCCCAGAGGTGGCAGCTCGCAAGCAGAGTGGATTTCCAAGCCCCACGCGCATAAAAGGATTTCACATGAATATGTGTGAACTCAGGAGAGTTGACTGCAGGAGAGCAGAGGCAGCCGGGAGCAAGCGGCGGCACAGCAGCGGTGGCAGCACGGTGAGTACCCTCCGCCCTTCTAGGGGGGCAGTCCAGGCCGCCCAGCCCCGAGGCGTAGCAGGGGAACTGGTGCAGGGGCACCTGGGATCCCCGGGAAAGGAAAGAAGTAGAGCTGCTCATCAGAGGAGGGTGCGGCCCTCCCCGTGCGTCTTATCCCCCACCTGGCACTAAGGGGCTGGAGGGCTTCCGGGGCCCTCTGAACTCCTGGCCTCCCACCGACAGGGAACCACCAGCCCAGAGCCCATGGGCCCCATTGCACAGGTGAGTGGGGTAGAGGAGGGGCCTCTGTCTTCTCTCCTCAAAGCCAGCGGCTGAGATGACTCAGGCATCCCCTAGAGACCCTCGGGCCCTAACCATTCTCCCAGGGAAATGGAGTGCACGGCCTCGGCAGAAAGGTGATGCCTGCTCAGATGCAGGCACCTTGCAAGAAAAAGAGAGGGACCCGGCAGAGCTTCTTAGCTGGAAAGGCGCCGAGGGGCAAATTGTTTCACCTCTCATTTATAGATGAGGAAATGGAAGGCTGTCCCTGCGCCTGGCCCTTAGTGAGGATGGAGAGCATAGTGGCGTAGAGGAGAACCCGGCCAAGGGGCCAAGCTTGGGGAATGGGAAGGGAGGGGAGGCCTGCGTCCACCATCGTGTGTTTGCATCTGTTGGCATCCTTTCTAGGCCTGTGGGGCAGGTCTAGGCTGTCCTGGAAGGGCTGAGATGGGAGGAACTCCGGCCCAGCCTCCTGGCTCTGGCATCCAGATAGATGCCATGGGGTCAGACTTAGACAGAAGGGGTGAATTCCTGCCTGATCCACAAAGTGGTGGGGCCACAGCAACCAATGGGCAAAGTAGATGGAGCATCTTCAGGAGCCTGGAGCACCCACCACCCTCACAGCCACCCATCTGGCAGAGGGGGAAACTGAGGCCCAGAGAGGCTAGGCAATTTGCCCAAAGTCATGCAGCTGGTTAAGCTCATTGAATAGTAGGGTGGATTCTTACCAAGCTGATCCCAAGGCCTATAGCTTAACCACTAAGCAAAACTGCCTCTTCTCAGACGTGCAGATGTGCAGGTCCTCTGCACCCAGATGTGCTCCTGTGAATTTTGTACAAGACACCTTCTCTTCCAGCCGGTGATGCCGCATTCCAGGCAGCAGCTGCAGTCCATGAACAAAGCTGCTTCTGGCTCCTCGTGAATAAAGGTGATAAACAGAGATGCTTACAAGACAAGTCCTGGCTGCTCAGGGCAGCTCAGCCTAGGACTCTGGGGCAGCCTGTCACTGAATATCCTGAGCTCAATTTCCTCATCCGCCAAATGGGAACACTAATAGTACCAACCTCATAAGGTTGTTAACAATAATAGAAGCTAAAAGGCATGGCATGCCTCCTGTGTACCAGGCACTGCGCTAGGCGCAAGTTTGGGTGTTAACTCTTTTAAAACTCACAGCAACCATAGAAGGCTGAAATTGGGGCAGTCCAGTGGCTTTTCTGACTGCACTCAGACAAGACAAACAGCTGTGATCTAGTAATTGAAGTGTTCAATCTTGTGTTATGTCACGACCTGATTTGGGGCCCCTCGGTTCTCAGCTCGGGCACATGGCAGGTGAGAAAGGGTGTCTGGTGGGCTTCCTCTCCCTTTTCCCACTGGATTTCCCTCCTCCTCCCCAGGAGCTAACTGTGGTTTCTGCCCTCTCCAAGGCTGAATAATGGGGAAAGAGGGGAACGGGGTAGGAATACGGTACTTGCCTGATACTGTTGGAAGCTAGCGTCACCTCCCTGAGGCTGGCAGAGGAAACGCTGACTTCTCTGCAGGAGTTTTCATGGGTTCTATGGAGATGCCCCTCACACATGGGATCTCTCTCCTGTGTACCCCCTACCAAAAAAATTCCTCCCTCAACTCAGGAATCTGGCAGGTCCACTATGCAGGCTGTACATTGAAATCTCTCCCAGGAGTCTCCTTAAAGCCAGACTCTCTGCCTTGTCTTAAGATGAAGAAGGACGCATTCCCCTCCCCAATATACAGTGCTCAAATGATTCTGTAAGTTCTTTCCTAAAAGCCCCTCTCTTTGCACCCCATGGGGGAGGTGCAAAAGGCATCTAGCAGGTTCTTAGCCACCTGCTTTCCGCACGTCCCACTGGTCCGTCTACAGCACAGCTCACTTCATTACCTGGTCTCAGCTGAAACCTCCCTTTAATATCTCTGACAAATACATCAGCCTTCAAGGTCCACCGCCTGTCTCATCCTCCCACACTGCTATTTCTAGCCCTTGGTTTACTGGTCTGCAAAATGGGCTGAATAACACTTACCTTATAGGGCTACTGGATGGTTCTGTGGTCTCATACAGGTGACGGCTCTTTATAAACTGTGAGAGGACTGTGCATAGGAGGGGCTGTTACTACCACTGCTCCTTCATTGGGTGATGACATGCGTTTTGGTGATGTCTGCGTATTTTCTGTGTCTCTGCTACAGGCAGCTGGTCCTCTGGTGGGTGCCTTGCAGATTCCTAGAGGCAGGGGACGGTGGCTTTCCCTCCTCCACCTGTCCATCCCTGACACACATGCATTTGTGTTTTGGGGCATGCTGACTAATAGGTTAGTAAGAAAAAGAGAGTCCTCCTGGGTAGCACAGAGCCGGGGCATGGGCCAGGTAGCCTCTGGAATGTGGCGGATGGGTTGCCTGTTGACAGGCAGGTTATTTTTGTAGGTGTTTTCTCCTGAGGATCACAAGGTCTCCATTTTCTCAAATTTCTCACCACTTGCCCAGGAGAGATGTTGTTAATTACACATGTGCTCCCTTCTGGGGCTGTGCAGGCCCCGTCTGATCTGAAAGCCCAGGAAGAGCCCAGCTGAACCACATGGGGCTGGTCCTTCTCCACCCCAGAAGGTCCACAAACCTGCCCACACACCACTGTGGGTCTCAGATGCAGTGTTCACCTGTCCCTAGTAAAATGACAGCTATACGGGCAGAGTGGTGAGGGGCTCACCAAGTTAAAATTGTTTCATTTAAATTTTAAGGTTTTGTGTTTGTATCTTTCTTTTTCCTTTTTTTTTTTTTTTTTTTTTTTTTTGAGATGGAGTCTCGCTCTGTTGCCCAGGCTGGAGTGTAGTGGCACGATCTTGGCTCACCTCTGCCTCCTGGGTTCAAGCGATTCTCCTGTCTCAGCCTCCTGAGTAGCTGGGATTACAGGCATGTGCCACCACACCCAGCTAATTTTTGTATTTTTAGTGGATATGGGGTTTTACCATGTCGGCCAGGATGGTCTCAATCTCTTGACCTCATGATCCACCCACCTCGGCCTCCCGAAGTCCTGGGATTACAGGCATGAGCCACCGCACTCAGCCTGTATCTTAAAATTATGTCCTTTCTACTTCTTTGATGTTAAATATCTTTTCTAGATGATGGTGAAAACATGGATGACTTTTTGCATGAACTTACTTGGGGAAGCAGAAAACTGGCAGACTCATTTGGTCCCAATTTGTTTATCATTTGCTGATCTGTGAACAACAAGCTTTTCAGAACGATTACTCCAGCAGTGAAGTTCAAACATTTGTTCCCTCATCTGACAAAGCCAGGACTCAAACCCAAAAGTATAGGAATTCCATAACGTCAGCACTCTTCCTACTGAGAGATGGGAGTCTGGGTCCATTCCAGTTCTGCCACTGAGATGCTGTGCAACTGGAAGGAAAATACTCGTCCTCTCTGAACTTCTGTTTTCTTATCTCTAAATCACACTTAATAATCCATGCCTGCCTCTCCCTTAGAGCGAGAAGTGGGCTGTAAATATTCATTATTACATCTGAGGAAGGGAAAGACCTGTGGGTGGGGTGGGCCCCCCTCACCCCAAATTCTTCATCGTTCTACCATCTGTCTCTCTTGTCCAGTGTTCATGGACTCCCAGCCAAGGCAATCTTTAGCAATGTCCTCAGAAACTGTAGCGTCTCCTCAGATATGTCCATTCTGTGCTGCTATCACAGAATACCCGAGACTGGGTAATTTATAAAGATCAGAAATGTATGCCTCACAGTTCCGGAGGCTGAGACGTCCAAGATCAAGGTGCCAGCAGGTTTTGTGTCTGGTGAGAGCCCCATTGCTCACTTACTTCCTAGGTGGCGCCTTGTTGCGGCATCTTCCGTGGGGGCCAAATGCTGTGTCTTCACATGGTGGAAGGTATAAGGGCAAAAAGACCTAAGCTAGTTCCCTCTCTCCCTTTTATAAAGCATGAAACTATTCATAAGGCAGAGCCCTCATGACTTAACCATTTTCCAGAAGGCCCCACCTCCTAATGCCATCATGATGGAGATTAAGTTTCAACATGAATTTTGGAGAGGACGCATTCAAACCACAGAAGGTGGGGAAGGGGGACGAGATTGAAGAAGAGAGAAAAAGGAAACAGAAGGAGTGTGGGGCAAGGGAGATGGGGACAGCAGGGGAGCAGGCTGAGGACCCTTGTTTCGGGTCCACGTTCTCCCTGATGACATCCCTGAGTTCCACAATCAGGAGCGCTTCTCCCTCCCCGCACCAAGACTCCTTTCCCTTGCTAGTCTCTGAGAGCAGGACATCTAGCCCTAATTCATCCTTGCATTCCCAGCCCCGGAACTTGGTGCTCATAGTAAACACTCAACAATTGTTTGTCGGACTGAATTGCAAACTTCTCTTGCTCCGCCTACTAAACTCTAAGTCCTTTGAGGGCATGAACTTTGTGTTTCACTCCTGTATGTGTTCATTCCGGGAAAATGTAACAATCAGGAGAAACAAAGCTATGCTGCTATAACAAACAGCTCAGTGGCTTAACACAACAAAGGTTTATTTCTTCCTTCTGTTCTATGTCTCCTGGGGGCTCTGCTCACACAGGGACCCAGATGGATAAGGCAGCCTCTGCCTGGAACACTGATAGTCACTGTGACAAAGGGAAAAAGAGCCCTGCAGAGTCACATGGTGACACCTAAATGCTCCACCCAGAAGCTATGCGTTTACTTCCACTCCCATTGGTTAACCAAAACAAGTCACGTGACCATGCCAAACTTGAAGGCACCTAGAATGTAATGGCTGGAACAATGGGGAGATAACAGTCGTGTCTGGCACTGGAGGTGGCAATAGGTGGCACAGGTGCAGACTTTGGGGATGGCCAAACTTGGACTTGAATCCCAGCCCAGCCATTTCATGGCCATGTCACCTTGAGGAAGTCCTTTCACTGCCCTGAACTGAGGGGATCACGTCTGTAAAACAAACTTACAGGAATTATCAAAGGACCATTGTGAATATAAGAAATAACTTATTTGAAGTGCCTAGAAAGGAGTAAGTCCTCAAAAAATGTTTATGATAAGCTCTTATTAACCTGGCACCAGTACAGAAACAGTGTGGGTCTCTATCACTGTGAATTGATTTAGAAAGTTACAGAGAGGTCCAGGTGTGGTGGCTTACACCTGTAATCCCAGCACTTTGGGAGGCCAAGGTGGGTGGATCACCTGAGGTCAGGAGTTCAAGACCAGCCTACCCAACATGGCCAAATCCTGTCTCTACTGAAAATACAAAAATTAGCTGGACGTGTTGGTGATGCCTATAGCCCCAGCTACTTGGGAGGCTAAGATAGGAGAATTGCTTGAACCTGGGAGGTGGTGATTATAGTGAGCCAAGATTGCACCATTGCATTCCAACCTGGGTGACAGAGCGAGACTCTGTCTCAAAAAAAAAAGAACTTTCCAGAGAGGTGAGCGATGAGATAGGATTATTAGCAACATCATCTTGAAACCCTCACCCAAAAGTCAGCCCCGACACATCCACAGCACCTCGTCAATTTCCAAGGACTTTCTCATCCATTTTCGACCCTCGCAATAAACTGAGGCATAGTGAACAGCCTTCAGTATCTTTATTTTATGGAAATGTAGAATACCTCAGTGCCATTTCACATTTTGCCCAAATTCACAGCAAATAATCAAAATAAACAACTAGGCTAGGCAATCTTTAGCAATGCCCTTAGAAGCTATATAGTCTTTCCAAATACGTCCATTTTGTGCTGCTATAACAGAACAGCTGAGACTGGGAAATTTATAAAGAACAGAAATTTATGCCTCACAGTTCTGGAGGCTGAGAAACACAGTTGAAGCAATAGCTAAAATTTACTGAGAGTTTACTATGTGCCAGGCAGTGTTCTAAGAATGGGGTTGGCAAACTACAGCCTGCAGTTCAGACCTGGCT